TAATGATAAAGGTCTTCTAATTTATGTAAACGTTATGGCAGTTAACATTCGGTGAATCGAAATAATTTGCTAAACTGAACGATAGAATTTATTAAGTAATTATTTCGGCCCTATCTTTTTGCCAAGCATGTAAAACCTTTATGCTGCCTGCGGTTTTCCATCGAGAGGTAAATGAAAAGAAAAAGAAGAAAATAAAGAAGAAGAAGAGGACATGGATGCAGGGCGGTCGTGACATCTACTCCTCTGTCATCAAACATCTTCTCAAAAAGATAGGGATCCTGTGGTCATATCAGCAAGTACACACAGGTTTTTTAAAAATAACTCCAGAGGAACGGCTCTCGAGAGTGGACGACTGCGAGCGTCTCTTCAGAGAATTTCGGGAAAATGTTTGCAAATTATAAGTAGAAGTATTGAAGTATGTGAGGTAAGGTTTGCCTTCTATAGAAGAAAGGCATTAGCTATGTACATGATCTTATCTAGTGCTCAAATATTAGCTCTTGGCGCTAGTTATGTTGACAGGCGCGTAACCTCCTACGGAGATATCTATGTAAAATCAAACACACTTAACTGTTGCCAATCATACACACTTAACTGTTGCCAATTTGATTTTCAATGACGGCGCTTTTTTAACTTCATCTGCCTGATAAGCTGGGCACATATAAGTTGCAATCATTGCTTTTAATGTTGTTATGAGAGAACTTAATAACTTTACAACAGTAAACAACTGAAATCGCCACTTTACTCTGCTAGGCAACCACTTCTCATTTCAAAGTGGCTATCACTTGTGCAAAATATGCGCTTTTTTAACACTTAGGATTGACACCGTAATACGCGGACATTATGATAGCTTACCAAAGTCTATCGCTGCGTAGTAACGAAGCTAGCATCATATATGTATTGCTTTGTTCGTAAATAACATACAATTATTCCTCCAACATTTTCAAAAGGTTCTCGTTAATAGTTAACACGTCCACTATCAGGATTTTCTGGGAAAACTTCCATCATAGCTCACCATTTCTTTATGACTGTATGACTTTATGTAGAGCAAAAGGGAGTAAATAAAATGTAAAATAAACCTTCTTTTAAACTGACGCAAATATGTGACGCTCAGATAGAGATAAAAACTAAACCATATAGCTCATGTGTCACAAATATATGTCATATTCAATTAGATGAAATGGATTGATTATAGGAGGAGAATAAACCTACATATATAAATACAATTTTTGAATATGAAATTCAGTTTATTTTGTATGATAAATCTTGGAACAATTTTGTGATCGAAAAATATTTCATTATATACTAAGAAAACCGTATACCTTATCAATAGCTGTAAACTCGTCCCGTGTCGCACACCGACTAGATAATCGAATGCTATAAACCGATCCTTGGTCTGCATACATTTTATCCTTTTATGAACTTGGCAATTTTGTTCAATAGATATCACATTTAATTAGTTAACTGTGTCGACCTCTTTAGCGATATGCTTGTATGCCAGTCACACATAGGGTATGTGCAATATGAAATTAATTTATAATGAAACGACTTGACAAAATGACAATAATATTTTCTAAAACTTATTATTATGCTAAAAAGCCAACAAGCACGAATGGACAGATGATGTCGAATATATTCGTTATATATATATATATATTCGTTGAGTGGTTAAACATCTCTTAATAAATTGCCCGAATATGTCTGCCATATATATTTGATGCTGGACTGAAACAACAAGAACTCACTGTGACGGTTGGCAGCGAAACGGTCAATCTAAAAATTATTGATGCCGCTGCAAGCCATCTTCGTCTTCTAAGCAATGGCTTTTAGCCTAGATGACGCATCGACACTTTCTCTTGATAATTATAATATGGCTCGAGATCAACAAGTGGTGGACTAAACTCAATCACTTTGTCAATTTTTTTGAACAATCAAAAAGTTCAGTAATTAGTTTCTATCTAATCGACATGTGGTGCCTTCAAATTTTGCTAACATAATCATTCTAAGCTGATTTTGTTTGTTAAATGCATGTCAAAAGTGTTAGTGCGATGGCGATCATGACATTTGTCATACAAACTAACGACATTTTTCACAAAATTTGATTTTTTCAATATTTGCTTACGATACTCGTCACAGATGTCTACTTAGCTCTATTTTCTTATATTACTTACTTAAAAGCAACAAACGGCAGCTGTAGCTTTTCGACATATATTTTGGTAAGCAATTTTTCATTAGTTTCGAAGCCATTGAAAATTTACTTCCCAAAGATAAGAAAACATAAATTTTTTGTTTTTTTTTTTTTTTTTGTTTTCATACTACGCAAGCATATGATTTTGTAACCTTTTATAGAATGTTCAAATTTAATCTATATATTATGTACATTGAAATTCATATATATTTGTTCGGAGAATACAAAGATCTATCTTCATTTTACACTACATGCTCAAGTTAATAGTTGTTGAGCTCTTTCTCTCTTTTCTTTTTTATTATTTATTTCATTTGTTTATTAACTCTTTCCACACGTAACTAACTATACGTTTGAGTAACAATAAAAAAAAAACAAAAAAAAAACAAAAAAAATAATATATAATTTTTTTTTTATATTTTTTATTTGTTTTGTTTTTCATTTCATACGAGAGTCTCTTATTGGCCAATTGTATAGGTTTATGTATGTATTTGTACATTTGCTTACTATTTAATGTGCGTATAGTTGCCATTGGTTAATAATATATTTTGTTATTATTGTTGTTGTTGTTTGTATTATTGCTTGAATACTGTAGTCAACTGTATTTGTTTTTAATAGATGTTTTTATCTATACATATATATTCATTGTATTATATTTTTTTTCTACATTTTTTTTTTTTTTGCTTTTATTTTATTTTTATTTCAAATGTGGTTGTTTGATTGCTCTCTTACTCTGCCTTTTTTTTTTTTTTTTTTGTTTGTTACATAGTGTGAGAGCGTGGGTTTTACATAATCTACAATTGTATGGCATGGTAGTCAAATGATTTTAATCTATACCAAGAGATATTTGTGATACGCCCCTTACAGTAATTATTCGATGATAATCTTTCGGTGTCTTCTCTGCTTTTGTTTTTTTTTTTTTTTTTCTAAGAAATTGGAATCAATGGAAGAAATTAGTAAAAAAATTTAATATATTATCAAAAATAATTCATATGTCTTGCCTTCGTCTCTATAATATGTGTGAGAATATAGTTGTGTGTCAATTTTTCGATATTCTTTTTGGGGTTTTTTTCTTCTTTTCTCTGCCTGAGTATATTAACATTTTTCTAAAAATAATAACAAATTCTCTTACATTTAATGCAAAAGAAAAAAAGAGAGAAAAGTAAAAGAAAATAAGTTAATTGCGCAGGTTTTTTGTGGAGATAGATGCCCCATCCCAACCCAAGGGTTTACAGCTTCATTTACTATCCTTTGATAAAACCAAAAGATATGTTTCTGAGGCAACTGAACTGAACGTGAACTAATAATCTTCCTTCCCATCCGCTTGTATGCCTAGCGATTGTTTGTTGTAGCAAACACAAAAATCGCGATTGGAATCCGATTGGAATTGGTCTAATAGGTTTACAAATAAATTCCTTCTGTTTTCCAGTAAAATTCAACTTTATTTAAAATATAATTGCTACAAAGCTTAAATAAGATATGCTTCGCTTATTATTTGTAGTCTTTTGCCATTTACCGGATAGCTTACGGGTGCCCTCGCGGTACGAATTTTGCCATCGACCCATTTTCTCAAATCTCTTTAATCTCTGACTGGCTAAATATGACCGCATCTATCTGAATACGTAGTTATTGGAAGGTGCGAGGTCTGAAAAATATAGCCGGTGTCGTAAAATTTTCCAACATAAGCTAAGAACTATTGTCAATATTGTTTTTGCGAGAGACGGACAGACGTATTCGAATCTTTGACGGCTACAATTTTTTGTCCAAAATCTTGCAAACCACTTTCAAACCGCTTCGTAACTTACGGCATTTTCATTCCCAGTCAAGTTAATCATTTACCTAGAGCTGCAGCTGCAGTTTGTGACATCCATCTCGTTACATTTCGATATGCACTGGATGACAGCTTAGCAATAACTCGAACTTATATAGTTCAAAGATCAATATTTAAGTTATCATCTATACCTGAAATTTGGGGAAAATTGAACGAGGCCAAGGGATTTATTTGTTTTATTAATGACTATGGATTGAGTTTGAAAATAGGAACTCACTTAAAAGAAGGACGTATGATCTTTATTTATGAAAGCTGAACTTGAAGTTGAATGAAAATAAAATAGCATATAAAAAGATTTCAAGCGACCGATTGACATGCCCACTATGTTAATAATATTTATATATTGGTGTGGTGTACTACTTTCTGACTCTCCCTCGCTAACTTGTTATACTCATGACATTTATTCTTTTCGACGAAACGTTTAAAAAAGGCATAAGTAGCCGAGTAGGCAAAGGATGGCGACGAACAATTCAATGGTCACGGGTTAAAATCTCAAGAAGACGTACAGATGAGCATGTGATTGAAGTTATCCGACAGCGTTTAAATTCTTACTTAATAAATTTGTTTAAAAAATAAGCAATAAATAAATAAAAGACAAATTTTTCTAAGACCATACGATGAAAAGGGAGAGACTAGTTTTATAAATAATGCGAAGTTATGTTCATGGTAAGCTACGGTAGAAAGAGTTTACTTAATCAACAAACAGTGCAAATGACTTTTGCTCAGCTTGACGAATACAAATTTTATTTTAGCTAAAAGTAAATGAGTTTTTTGGTGTTTCAAAGTAGGTCTCTTATAAATTCGTAAAATTTTAAAATTTCGTATACTAATCTTATTCTATATATATGCAAGTATTTCATATTTTCCTAAACTTTATTAGATCTCTAAAAATCAATAATAATAACAAAAAAATTAATTATATCTGCATTAAAATAAAGTGAAAGCAATATGCTTTATGATAATATTGCGTCTCTTTCTTGATTTCAGATTCCGTCCACTTTTAATTTAAAGGCAAACACATAACATTTATATGTTCACACAATTGAAAGGCTATAGAAAATTTTTGGCAGATATTTATGCAGCAAGCGAGAGAACAAAAGGATAGTGATACCAAAACAACATGTATTCCTTAAGTAGCCAAAAAAAGAGGGAAATAATTAAATAAAAATTAAAATATTAACTTAACCAAAAAAGAAGTAGAAGAAGAAAAAAGGAAACCGAAAAAGAACTGAAAACATTAAGAGAAGTTCATTCAGTTTGAGAAAAACTGAATAAGACCAATATTATATTTATAAACAGACAGTAGGCCAATGACTGAATCAACACAATTACAAACAACCGAAAATAATAACACAGGCATTGTTAAAATGGAACCATTACCGCCTGCTGTTTCAGCGTCTACTGCCAGTGTTACAAATCCAGCAACATCACCGTCGCCCATCTCCACAGCTATGGAGCAACAGACACAACAACAGCAACAGCAGCAGCAACAGGAACAATCAGCTCTACAACATCAACATCAAGCGCAACAAATACAACATCACTTAAAACAACAACAACAACAACAACATCAACAACAACAACAGCCACAACAATATGCTTTAAAATGGAATGATTATCAAACCTCGATGCTGACTTCATTTCGCCATTTACGTGATGAAGAAGATTTCGTTGATGTCACTTTGGCCTGCGATCAGAGATCTTTTACCGCACACAAAGTAGTGTTAAGCGCCTGCAGTCCGTACTTTCGTAAATTACTGAAAGCGAATCCATGCGAACATCCAATTGTTATATTGCGTGACGTACCCGCTGACGATGTTGAGAATTTGTTAAGGTAAAATAAAAACAAAAAAAAAAAAAAATTAAATAACCTTTTTTTCTTTTTTAATTCGTTAAGAAGAACTTTATACACTCTATAGCTTAGTTCTGAGTATTTGAAGATTTTGAAACAATTTGCCTTGACCTTACAGGTATACGAATATATTCATGAATCATGAATCTTTGTCAAGAAACTCAGACTTAAATTTCCTTATTAAATGCGTTGCTCAGTGAATTTCGCTACGAGTTATGGCATATTATTTGACGAATCTTTTCTTTAAATTTATCACTAAGCCACTCACTTCTCTTGAGAAAGTTCTTTCTAAATTACTACCCTTTATCTTTCTTCTGTCCCTTTTGAGATCTTGTCTTAACAGTCCGTTCAAGTTTTCTCTTTTCTTCCCGTAACGTGTGTCAGTCTATTAAAGCTTTCCATTTAAAGCTTGAAGAGCACGTGCATTACCAACAGGATACACATTTTTGATTGCAACAGCCATACCAGGAGCGAATCAGCGATGTGGTACACATTTCAGTAGATGAATAATTGAGTCCCTTGGGAATCAATTCGAGTATATATATGCACTTTACTATGCTTCCTTGTCCCAATAGTGTGTAATGCGTTAGTAATATTGCAATTTTACAAGACAGTCGGTTACGACTCGCATTTATCAGTTTGGCATTTTTCGCAAAAGTTTGTTTATTTGTGCTATCAATTATGGTCCATTTTAGGATTAAGTAGCAAAAATTGTATGTCTTTTAACTGAAATCTTATTTAAACAACGTTACTTGTCGCAACGTGTTTGCAAAATTCAACTTATCATCAATAGAAATCTAGTTTGCGTAATAGGCTTAACAAAGGAAATATTAGAGAACTAAGAATTAAGTTCAGATATAAATAAATAAAATAATATTTGGACATATGTTTAATCAATTAATGCTGAATATAAATCTCGATTCTTATCTATTGCAGTTTTATGTATAATGGTGAAGTAAATATCGGACATGAGCATTTACCCGAATTCCTTAAAACGGCGCATTTACTGCAAATACGTGGTTTAGCCGATGTAAAAAATACAAATAATACATTTTCCATGCCCCTTAGTACAAGCACGAAGCCCTTAAGCAATGTTGTAAATAACAAAGGCAGTAATAGCGGCCATAACAACAATGTGAACAACAACACCAACGTCAGTTGTAGTATGATAGGCAGTAGCGGTAGCAACAAATTAAATTTTCTAGCAGCTGCCACACAAGTTCTTAATAATTCCAGTTCCTCACCATTTAATGCGCCCACGCTGAATTCGGCGTTACCGGGGAATAGTTTAGCGATTAATAACAGTAGCAATAGCAGCAACGGTATTAACAACTTTAACAATAACAATAATAACAACAACAATAATAATAATAATAATAATAATAACAGCAATATTAGTAACAACAATAATAATAATAATAACAGCTGTAGTAGTAATAGCGGTAAATCGACAGCAACAACAACAACAACAGCAACACCTGCCATACAGGAATTGAAGGCATCCTCAGCGTCACCAGTAAGAAAAACCAATAACACTAAAGTAAAGTATTAAAAAAATGTTCCACAGTGAAAAAATGAAGATAAGCGATTTAATTTACTAAATAAAAAAGAAAAAAAAAAAAAGAAAAGGAAAAGCAAAGAGAAAAATCAATTATGAAAAATTTTGAACATTTTTTATTCCATTAATTAATTATTCTTCTCCTCTGTGTATTTAACAAAAGGCCAATCATTGGGATCTAACGGATAATGAAAGCAACCGCAATAATCACTTGACACCTCCGCCTCAGAAAAGGATTAAAAGTGCCGATCTATTTAGGGCACAACATGGCATCAGTCCTGAACGTTTGCTTATAGAACGTGAGTTTCCGGTAGCCGGACAACATCCTCTCACACGTACGCGCAGTCGTGAAACGTCGCGTGATCGTGAACGTGAAATGCGTGAATCACTTTTGGGACAAGCTTTAGAAAACAGCAATGGATTACAGGTGACGGCAAATGAAAAAAAAAAAAAATTTATCCTTAACGAAATATGATTTTCATGTATATATATCATATGCAGAAACTTCACGGTGATCTTAGTTCGTTGCATGCGCAAAGTGCTGGCGAAGATTCCAATAGCAGTGATACCGAGCCATCAGATCGGGGTGATGGTCCGCATGATGGCACCACAATGGACTCCCTAGACAATCAACGTTCACATACATTTCCCAGCGCTTTTCTTGGCCTACAAGGTATATCCGGCCTATTGCCCGGTCCATCCGGTATGGCAGCCAACGATTTCGGTAAGTCAAAAAATGCGTTCAATAATTTATTTATTTTGTTTTTTCTTTTTTCAAATTATTATTCACTTTTCTTTAAAAAAATCATTTACTTATATTAAATATATACATATAAATATTTATATATTTGCCTTTTGCTGTTATGTTCTCAAAATTTCGACTGGAAATCTATCTCTATATAAATATATATATATCTATACATATATATATATCTATACATATATATATATATATATATACATATATATATATCTATACATATATATATCTATACATATATATATATATATATCTACATATATATATATCTATACATATATATATATATGTATTATATATATTTTCATATATATAAAAACTATAAAAAAAAAAATTAAATAAATAAATAAATAAATAAAACCCAATTGGATTATTTTTAACTTATTTTGCATTTCCAAAACTCAGTAGCATGTAAAGTAATTTCTAAAAACGAATGTATAGCAAAATTATTAAAAAGCAAATAATGGCAAAACATTCGAGCATCAACAAAAGCTCAATTCAAATGACTAAAATTGGCCTAAAAATCAGGTAAAAACAAAAGAAAAAAATCGCTTAAAAACAAATAAAAATTAAATTATAAACAGAAATTCCATCATCTCTTCTTTTGCCATTATAATTATTTAGAATTTTTCTCGTATATATATATATATACATAATATATAAATAAATGCTTGTGTGTTTAGTAATTAATTTTCTTCTTCTCCTTATTATTATTATTATTATTTTGAAATATTTATTACAAAAAAAAAAAAAAGAATTTTTCTTTATTTTATTTTTTTTTGTGCTGTGCAAAAAAGTGAAAAAATCTTGCTTAAGATATTTTGATAAAAACAGGTCAACAATATGATATAATAAATACGTGGTAATATGCGTCCAAGTGTTTTATAGGATAATTTTCACTTCGAAAACAATATTTACTAATACTTTTGTATACATATATATATATATTCCTTTTATAATACATTTTCTAAACAATAATCGTAATCGTAATCATCATCATAACTTAAGTATTTTAAAAATATTTATACCATTATATGTGGATGTTTTCGTCGTTTCACTGATAGCCACAATAGTCACATATTAACCATTAAATCGATTTCTTTTATTGTTAGTAATGTAGATATCAAACGATTTTGTCCCTTCTTCGTATTCCTTACGTTTTAATATTCCAGACACACACATATGTTCTATTAAGCATTTATATCTAATAGGCAATATTTGCCTTAGAAAAGAGAAAAGCATGACTTAAATCTGAAATTGAAGAGGACGAATTCTCATTACTTTAAGCATGAAAGCTTGCAAAGTTCAGAGGTCGCTTTTGTTCTTAAAGATTACATTTGTCTCGAGATGAATTGTAAATACTAACGGCCACGACAATGGCAGAGTTAATTGCCTAACACAATGTAGCGGATCAGAAAGTGTTTATTACTATTATATATTTTCTATATAGGTCTCTAATCAATATTTTTATGATCGATATGTGCTGCAGCTTAGTAATAACAAATTTTCATTTTTAGTCGTCGTATAGTAGATTCAAACCATAAGACATAGGGGAACGCTTCGAAGCTTCCTGCTACGTATTCTTAGTTCCGATGAACAGTGCAAATTTTTTAGTCTTTTCCATCTGTTTGTACGTCTGTTTGCTGCGTTTTTAAGACATAGAATAGCTCTTTGAAGACCACTGTTGCATAGTGTTAGTTCAGGTAAACAGTACAATTCTTTGAGTCTTTTCCGTTTGTTCGTCCATCGGTTTCCTGCCTTCCAATAACAGTCATGATCGTGAATTCATAACTTTATCTAGGTTAAAGAGATGCAGATAGACAGCACTAGAGTCTCAAGATTCTATGGAGTGTTCAGGTCGAAACTTGGGCTTGAGCTATTATTTAAGCTTTTACGTGAATAAGAGCGTTTGGAGCCAAATATCGGAGTTTACTATATTATTATATGTATAAAACAATGTGTACGATGGATTGCATATGTGAGATAGACATGCTTTCCTTATCTTGCATTCAAAACCACCGGGTAATGGAGTAGTAAGTAAAAAGGAAAGTAATGGTAGTTGTAAGGAAACTTCGTAATACTGTAACTGTAACAAGCAAATATCTAAAAGTTGTAAAGTATTTTGTTATTGTTGGAATGCAGTTTAACGGTCAAAACTTGTTTTACAGTTTTAGACTGTCCTGGCAAGTTTTAGTACATTATCGCTTTTAGATTTTTTGCTTTTTTCAAGTAGACAAAAGAGCAGACATCGCATTTTTATACCCTACACTATTAATCGTATACGGGTATACTGAGTTTGTGGGAATGCATGCAATATCCACCTCTTATTCGGTGCGGAATCACTTTCTGAATCGATGTAACCTTGTGTGTCCGTCCTATTTTTTTTTTCTTGCGATTAACCAACAATATGTAAATTTTTTGTAAATTTGATAAAATTTGGTACACTGTCCTCTCTTGGTCCAAAGACGAGTAATATTGAAACTGGTTCGGTATGGATTTCGTCTTCAACTACTTCCCATGGAATGACACATTTTTAAAAGTCGCTAATGAATAAGTGCAGAATTGTGTAGGCTATTTAAAAGCGTGCCGTTGCCTACTACAATGTTTTTACTATCTTCACACTCAATCTTTGGCCATCAACTAAGAATATAAGTGGTAAGGTCCAAGTCTCTATCTCAACTTTCGCAGTCTCGAGACTAAAAAATATTAGAATGGGTAAGCATTGACAAGCTGTGACCCACTCATTCAATTTACATAGATTAAGGGATTAAAATCCGTTGATTCTCGTATTAGAAACGAATACAACTTCGGAATGGTTACCACCTACTTACGCTGTTATATATCGGAAGGTTTCTGCTTTGAAGTATATTTGGCACTAATCACATACCGAATATGGCTTTCTTGCTTGTTTTTTCTAATTCGAATTTTTACTGCAATTGGATTAGAAATGGTTTCAAAAGCTTCTTAATCAAAATTTACAAAAAAAAGACTGGGACTCTGTAGTCGAAATCTTGTCTTTATAACTGCTCCGTATGCCAAGATAAATAATTTGATTATATTGATAAAGTTTGGACAAAAATTGCCAATAAAAGTAATTTTCACATCAAATTGTTATAACGTATTTCGTAAAACCTGTATGGGATTTGAAATCGATGAATTTGCTATATTTCAGGAATTGTTTTGCTTTGTATGTAAATTGCCGATGGTGTGCTTTTCTTTTCAAACTTCCTCGTTGATGCTAAATTTCAAGTTTAAGTGACGGATTTAACTAGACTTCTTTGCCAGCTGTGACAACACTAAGATTTCGAATCCAATAACTTTTATACTCGTGGTCACGATAGAGCACTGCAATTATTCAAATCTGGCCTGTGGAACTGGAAAGTTTGTCAGATACAGCCAGTCTTCTCGCATAATTCTTCATACTTTCAAAAAGCAAATCACACAATAGAGTCGGTCATACGAATGGAAGAATTGATGAATATAGCAAAATGAACGAAGAATCTAATATTCAATAAGAATTTAATCAGCTAACTGTGTCAACCTGTTTAGCGATGTACTCGTACACTCCTCAAACACAGTGTACGTGTAATATCAAAGGATAAATACAGGTTCTAAAGTACATTGTTATGGCAAATACACATACGTAATGAGAAAAATTTGTAAGGAAAGCCGACATGGACGGATGGACGGATAGTGACGTATATATTTGTTATACACATTTAACTGATTAACATATTAGTCAATAATTGCCAAGGTGAATGCCGCCTATAAGCAAGCATTATTTATGGAAAGCACGAACTCTCAAATAAGGCGAATCGAAATTTCATCCTATTACGATCATTTGTTTATGAGTTGCAGTGGTTTGCGATTATGTTTTCAGGGCAAACGATCCAACAAATGCCATTTGAAATCAACATTGGCTTGAAAAAGTTATGGAGAGATTTCTTCGTCGAGGATAACTGGTTGATATTGAACCCAGTGTCTATTGAAAGAAGTGGTTACACAATAGTGGTTGCGCAATACAAATTATTTATAATTCTAAGCGATAATCGAAATGTTGACCTGCCACAGATAGCTAACTAAAGATATCAAAAGGTGGCGTATACATTCCTTTGACACGACAACATGAAAAAGCTGTGAGAAAACATACGGTCCACAAGTCGATGGCCACAATGTCAAAATTTCTTTATATTTTTTAGATCGCATCCCTAGCGACTATTATTTGTTTGTCAACCCAAAAAGAATGCTTTAGGAAAATAGATTTGGATCAAACACCGAGGTCGAACAGAAAATTGAAGCGTCTTTTTATGAGTGATTATCATATCGGCTCGCAAGAAAGGCTTGGCAAAATTAAAAAAAGCATTTCACTGATTCTATCAATATTGCAAGCGAACTGTGCAAGAAAAATCAGCTTTCTCTACATAGTCTTGGGAGTTATTGACGATGTGTGCTATGTATCTGTTGTCTACTTCCGAGTATTGAAAACACTAAAATTTGGATCAGTTGATAAGAGCGAATGTTTAAATCCAAAAGAAAATTTTCATACAGGGGTCTATTATGATACGATGGGTTAAGTCCTTCCTACGACTAATAGCGCAAGGGTTGACGGGAATTAGAGGGTATAAATAATTGAATATATATCGGTTCAGAAAGTGTTTCGTATTTTTTCATTAAATTATGTGAATAAAATTTTCTACTAATATAAATATCGGCTTAAAAAAAAAAGGCCTAGAACTTCAAGCATAACAAAGCTATAAGAAATTTTAGTAAAAATCGCTGATGTGCAGTTTAGTTAGAAAACAACACATCTGTCTAAAGAAGACGCAAAGTCTAAAACATTATTTCAAGATAATATTAACTAGAAAGAAGGCAGCATATGTGTTTGTTTTTGTAACTTATCAATTAAAAGGTCAACTTACTGACAAAAATTTTGTACGGCCAAAAACCTCAACATTTTCAATAAG